CGTTGAAACCGGTTTAGAACCGGTTTATATCGTGTGAACCGGTTTGGAACCGGTATGGAACTGAACCGAACCGATTGAACCGGTTTAGAATCGGTGTAACCGGTTTAGATAGGTTCGACTAATTTTTTGAGTGAACCGGTTTGAACCGAACCGGTTTGAGGCTGAATCGGTTTTGCTTGGCTAGGGAGTGAACCGAACCGGTTTAAAGAACCGGTTCAGTTTGAAAAATGAACCGGTTTGTGCATGCCTAGTTCTAGTCTCTCCCAATTTCGACCGTTATCGCCAAGTTACAAAAGATTCGCAAAACGCAAGAACACGATTCCACTTCCACTGCTGTTGAGTGTTGTACGTTCTGTTCATCAATCGCTCCCCTTTCTCAGTTGAGAGATACCATCGCAAATTACCAATCGCAGGCGGCAGGCCCTCTCTCTCTCTCTCTCATCGCAATCTGCTTTACTGCTTACGTTGTTTCTTCGAGTTTATCCCATTGAACTATTGAAGGTACCATAAATGATTAAATTAGGCAATAAACTTCATTAATCATTAATACATTTGTTTATCCGAAATTTTTATCTTCTTTTGTTATGAATTAGGACTTAGGCCACATTAACGTTGTATGTTATTGTTTTATTGTTAGTATCAATTTATCAGTAGCTTCCAGATGAGTTTAGTTTCTTTTAGTGTACTTTCTTGAATGGTTCAATATTTGTCACTTGGTATCTAGATAATCAGATAGTCACGTTTGCCTTTGCCTTTGATTTTATGTCCAGGGCTCCAGGCATCTAGCCAGTGTATTATGTATGTTTCTATTATGGTTTGGTGTTAATGTATTCCAATCTATATAGTATGTCTGTAGGAGGTTAGAGGTATATGTAATATATGTTTTCTATTTTTCTGTGTAGGAAATACTGAAAAGAAACGACTGTTATTCTTGCAAAGTTCAAGGGAAAAACAGAAAAAGGAATAAGATCTCTGACAGGTGCTTTCGTTCCTTATCTAGTTTCTTGTATTATCACTGTTCTTATGATGTTTCCTAATAAAAACATATGTGAAAGCCAAAAAGGCAAAAATAGACAAAAAACCGAGCAACAAAAGCAATCTCAAGAAGGATCTGTGGATAAATCTATGAAAATAGCAGGTTATTCTAGCGTTTCAAATGAGAATGATAATGCAACAAATGAGAATGATAAAGATTTACAACGAAAATTTATACACGAGAAAGAGCGTTGGAGACAGGTTATAGTAAGAATAATTTCCGCAGTGAAATATTTGTGTAAATACAATTTATCTTTAACAGGGTCTAACGAGAAACTTTATGAAGATAGTAATGGTAATTTTTTGGGGCTAATTGAAATGATGACAGATTTTGATGTTGTAATGCAATATCATGTTGGGCGTATAGGAAATGATGAAACTCATCATCACTATATTGGTCATAAAATTCAGGATGAAGTAATTTCTCTTTTAGCCCACATGGTGAAAACTTCTATAACTAAGATTATCAAGAAAGCAAAATATTTTTCTATAATACTTGATTGTACCCCAAATGTAATTCATCCAGAACAAATGGCTCTAGTTGTTCGATGTGTGAACATGTCTAATGAAAAAGTAAAAATTGTTGAATACTTTATAGAATTTTTAAAGGTGGGCGATGCATCTGGTGTTGGACTTTTTAATGAATTGTTAGATGTGTTTAAATTGCTTGATCTTAATGTTGATGATTTAAGGGGTTATGATATAGACTCGAATATTAAAGGACAACATCAAGGAGTTCAAAAACGATTTCATGAAATTAGTCCTAGAGCATTTTCTATGGCTTGTGCTTCTCGTAGTCTTAAGCTTACTATTAGTGATTTGGCTCATTCTTGTGATAAAGCCGTTTCACTTTTTGGAGTTTTGCAACGCATATTTGAATTATTTTCAAGTTCTCCTAAAAGACGTAAAATATTACTTGATAATGTTCCAAATTTAACTGTGAAATCATTATCCAAAACTCGTTGTGAGAGTAGAAGAAAGATTGTCAAAGCTATTAGGTTTCATGCTCCTCAAATAAGGTTAGCTTTGATAGAATTATGCAAATCATGTGATGATGCAAAGTCAAAGAGTGAAGCTGAAAGTTTGGTTAGTGATATAGAGAATTTTGAATTTTTACTTAGTATGATTATATGGTCTGATATATTATTTGCTATTAATATGGTGAGTAAAAAGTTGCAATCCACAACTATGTGCATAGATGCTACCATTAATCAAGTAAAAAGTATGATGATCTACTTTGAGAAATATAAAAATACAGGATTTGTCTCTAGTATGAATATGGCTAAAGCAATTGCATGTGATATGGATGTAGAACCTACATTTGATAAAACTAATAATGAAGATGAAATACAATCAACAACTGAAGAGTCTTTTAGAGTCGAGTACTTTATGTATCTTGTGGATATTGCAATTGCTTCATTGAATGATAGATTTGATCAATTAAAAACATTCAAAAGTATTTTTGGATTTCTATATGATTCAGAAAAGTTGAAGTCTTTAGATGATACTGAACTTAAAAACTGTTGTGTTAATTTTGCGACTACTTTTTCCCATAAGAAAGCGTGTGATGTGGCTATAGATGAACTCTTCACTGAATTACAAGTGTTACAGATGACTTTGCCAAATAAAATGATGTCAGCAGTTGAAATATTGGAACATGTTAATGCTATAGATTGCTATCCAAATGTTGCCATTGCATACCGAATCATGCTGACTTTACCTACCACTGTAGCATCAGCAGAGAAAAAAAAATCAAAATTGAAAATATTAAAAAACTATTTGAGTTCATCAATCTCAGAAGAAAAGTTGGATGGTTTGGCCATGTTATGTCTGGAAAGAGATACATTGGACAATATTGATCTTGATAAAATTATTAGTGATTTTGCATCTAGTAAAGCTCCTATGAGTATTCTTTTATAATTTATTTTTTTGGCAGTTTGTTGTTTATATCAGTAGCAACAAATTTCAAAAGGTTAAGCCTGCATCATTAATTTTTCTTGTTAAAAAACGTATGGTTATTGTTTTTGGGTTCATATGGTTTCAGTGTTGTGTTTGGAGCAGGTTTTGTTTTCATTGTACACGAACTCACCTACGACTGACTAATATTTCTAGGATTATTTGCTTATCATATGTTTATAAATTTCATAAGCTCAACAGAGAATCCGGAGAAGTTTGTTCCATGATGCAAAGATTTCTGGTTTGTGTTTTTATTTGTTATTTTTACTCCTCTCTTTTTACTGTAAACAACAAACTAATTAACCCATATGGAACGGACCTATTTCATCTTGAAACAGTCAAAGGTTTGATGAATGCATGCATGTGGATTTATACAAGAAGACAGACTGTTTTTTGGATCTTTAATTGGTTTTGTTCATAGAAAGGTGAGTTTGGGGGATTGGTATTAATGCATACGGTTTTTCTACATGTGTCGAGTTTGATATTAAGTTTTTAGTTTCAGTTTGTTTACAGATTTTATGAAGATGGTGCCTGAGTCCTCTGAAGGTCTGTTGTGTAGGGTATGTTAGGGTTCATCCAGCAATGACACTGTTTATCAGAAAATAGTCTCTTAATATTACTATATTCATCTCAAAATACAATGATATATGGAAAGAATTCCATCATCTGTTACCAGGTAATTGTTGCTTTGTTTTAGTTTCCGATTTGTTTTTTTTCTTTAGTTTAATTTAAATTAGGGTTCTTTTGTGCATGAACTTTTTTTTTTACTTTAAATGGAACATGAACCATTGTTTTAGCTTTATTGTGGTATGTCTATGGTAATAATGTTGTGTAACCAGGTTGAGCTTAAAGGCCAAGTCATTATGAATCCAGTAATGGAGTTTTGTGCATCTGCATCTGCATATTAGCTTCTTTTCTAGAGACTCAATCGATAAGGTCAGTATTTGGGGTTAAATGCAAATTAAGTTTTTCTATTTCCCACTTTATGCAACAAAATGAAACTCTGATTACATCTGATTTTTTTTTCTTTTGTTATCAATTCTTCTAGGAAACAGAGGGAACTTGCTATGTGATTATGTTTTGTGGCGCGCAATGACGGATTGTAAGTTTTAAACTTTATTCTAACAAACAGTTTATTTAGCTCGATATTCATATTAATTGTAACATTTGGTAGTTTATTTTATTATTACTCTTGTTTTGGTCAGAACTTTAATCCAAATGAAGAACAGAATCAAAGTTTGATTAAGAAAAATAGAGCACGTTGTTCTTGATTTTCCTTTGTAAAATGTTGTGGGTATTATTGATTATTTGAATAAACTGAAGAATCAAAACCTGTATTTGGTTGCAAGACAAGAGGCTATTGATTGAATTTCAAAGGTTTGTTTGACCTTTGTTTTAAGAGTTTTTTGGTTAATTTAGGTTTAATTTGTTCTTGCTTAGATTTATTTATTTTTTCCACAAAAGAAGTACCACTTTTTCAGAATTAACTTGGGAATCCTTGAATCATGATTTTATATATTTTGTCTTTTCTTGACTCAGGTTCATGTTCAATTCAACTTTGGACCATTATGTGCATTTCTCTTTTTGTAAAATGCTTGGACAGCTTTCTTGTTGTCTATGAATTAATTACCTGTAAGTTATATTTATTATAAATATTTAATATCCCCATTTAATTTTTTTTATATAATCTTGTTTAACAAAACAGAAGCACAATCCTTGAATGATGCACTTGCTAGTTGTTAGATGTTTATCACTTGCAGCAGAAATGGAACAGACTGAAACATCCCAGATTTTGGATTTTCAGGTCAGTTTTCCAGTTTTTATGTATTAATTGAGTTTGTTTTCCTCATGAAATCAAGATCTATAATTCATTAAAGCAATTTATTGAAATTCCGCAGGCTGGTGAATAAAAGATTTGTTTTTGAACCAAAAACTGTCCAGAGAATGGAATTGGTTGTGTAATTCATTGAAATGGAGGATGGAATTAGTAACTCCATTTTCTTTCATTGATGAAAGGTAAAATCATCACATTTTTTGTGTAAAACCATTAGTGGGCTCCAAGACTGAGTTACATAATGTAAAGAGGGTAAATTGGTAATTTCACAATGTAGGGATTGACTTCGAGGAATTTCAAACATCTGATATAGCAGTGGCGGTGGCGATTTCTGTAGTTGGAATTGATATTGAAAACGCTGGATTTTCTGCAATCTTTGAGCATGCAGAGAAGGTTGTACATTGTTTATATGTAGTTTGTACATTGAGTTAGATTTTGCAAAAAAGATAATGAATTTAATGACTTATGAGATCGGTTTTTGCAGGAGAGGGGTCTTAAATGTATGGTGGTTGTGAGCAAGGGTTGTACCATGAGCTTTGGGAGTGGTACAATGACATCATTGCCTGAAAGCCTGATAGGTGTGCTTGAGGCTTCAATTTTGAGTTGTAAAACTGACGATTCACCTACTTGTTCTAAAAGGAGGAGCCTCAACAACATTAGCCCTTGAAAAAGAAATCTTGGAATTATATTTAAATTGTTGGTAGTATAATTTTGAAATGTTAAAACTACCACTCAAAATTTACAAAAAAAAAATGTAGGAGAATTAATTATGAGGAAAAATATGAAAATGGAAAGCTCTTTGTTCATAGAATATGAGGAAAAATATAAAAATGGAAATATATATACATTAAATTTTGTTTTTTATACATACTGTGTTTAGTATTTCTAATTGCTTATTTTGGCTGTGGGCTGGAGTTCAAAGAAGCTTCATAACAAAATAAAAAATCAGATATCCATTATATAATGGGAAGTGATTGGAACATAACAATTTTTCTTCATATACAACAATTTATGTTTTATAGAGTTGTAATTCAATTGTCATAATTCCTTTGTAACGCCAATCTGCCCATCATTGTTACATGTTACATAAAATGATAAAACATTGTTAAATACATCTAATTTCATTATTGTCATTATCACACAGTAAAAAAATACATAATAAATACTATTATAGTCTCATTTTCACTAAAGAAAGTATAGTATGTTTGATGAAACGATTAATGATTACTCAAAAATTGTCATCCATGGTTAGTAACGCAAATGTTTATAGAAATATATTTTATAAATAGTTTATTAGTTGAAACATGTTATAGTTCGAAATAAACTCATTATTGTAAACATATTTTTGATGACTATGTGTTCGAAATTTGAATCATATTTCTCAAACTTAATCCTAACATCTCTTAAGATCCTATAAGCAAAAATCGATCCTAATCACACTATATCCGATTCTCGAGCAAGATATTGAGATCTTAGGATCCTGACTAATACTATAAGATTTTACACTTATCCGATCTCACCTCTTTAGTCTTTATTCTACAATCAAGTTTATTGTCTTCTATGGCCTAGTATAGCCTAAGAAATATTGCCCCTTGAGCTTGAAATCAGACCTCTAAAATTCAACAATTTAAAATCTAGCATTGCAAATCGCAGCGTCACAACTTCATTAATATATCTCGAATTAGGGAGAGCATCCAAATACACATGTTACTCTCTATATGATCTTGTGCCTTTAAGCTATAGATAGTCATAATGATCTTGTTTCTTTTCAATTTAAAATGCTGTTGAAAATATCAAATCTTCCAATCTGGTTGAATGGTGTTATTAATTTGTATGTAGTTTGGAAAGATATAATATGGAACAAGAGCAACTTGGGTGGCTTGTAGGTAGTTGTTGTAGAAGTGTACATGGTTATTGGATGACAGTATTAGTATATACCTTACCGATACATAACAAGGCATATCCAAAGTATAATATTATAGTTTCAATATCTATTAACTTTGACAAATTAAGGTACAACTTCAATAGTCTTGATATGTATGTATTTTAATTTTTACTGGTTATTGCAATGTATATTCATTATCTTACGTTTATTAGCAATCTACTTTTATTTCATTGACAATAATAGCAACTCATTTGGTTGCTTGTTGATAATACCCAACATGTTAGGTTGTTTATGGATAAAATATAAGTATGTTGCTATTATGGAAAAAAAAAGTATACTGCATCTATTGTTAATGAAATGTAAGTACGTTGCTATTACAGGAAAAAAAAAGTATGTTTAATGTGTAAAAACCAATGTACATTGGCTATATTGATAAAAAGAGTAAAGTCCGTGTTAGTTAACTAATAGTTATGATGAATGTGTTTGTTTGGGGGGGTTGAAAGAAAAAGAAAACATTTATCATTTATCAACTAATCCAACACATTCATTCATTCCACTACATATAACCAGCAACTCTTCCAGTTCAGAATATAAATACCCTTGTCTTTACAAGGCAACCACAACAACTACAACATATTCCGTTCTTTTCCTAAAACAAGCATTAAACCCAGACATAAATTAATAATTAAAAAAAAAGAGAGACCATAATTACAAATGATGGGTGGTTGATACATGACATCTTCTTCTTCTTCTTCTTACTCTTACCTTTCCTGTATAATAATCCACAACAATATACATATATCATCAAACTCCCCTTCATGAAAGATGTATCAAAACATATTCAATTCTGCAAGATCATCCATTGGTATATCAAGCCCTGCTGTATACTGATCTTGTAATTCCTCTTCATCAAAGTTCAACAAAGAGCTCAAATCCTGGGCCCCACCAAGCTCCGTCCCCACACCTAACTCATCCAACGGATCCAACTCATGAAGTGGCATCATCTCCTTGCTTTCTTGTGACACCATCCGAATGTCCCTTCTCTCAACATTTACCACCGACAACGACGGCTGTACCGGATGTAATGTCCTTCCAAATCCATTCCCAGACATTGGGACTCCAGCCGCCTTTTGTTTCGGCTTAGGTTTTGTCTTCCGTTGATCGCATCTCTTCCCTCCCATAACCGTGCCAACATCATCCAGCAAAAGTTCCTTCTTCTTCCCTCTGTTTGATATCGGCCCGTTTATAGCAAATGCCTCATCTGATCATAATCATAATTAATTAATTAATTAATTAGCATTTAATGGGTTATTATGAAAGGATTTAGTAGGGATTTTGTACCAGATGATAGCCTTGAATCTTGATGAGGGTTTTGGAATCCGATATAATTGGTGGTGGTGGTGGCTACAGAAACTGTAGGCTCCAACTCATGGTCCTGAGGGGCAAAAAGGACATCTCGCAATGTAGGCACATTGAAGCAGCTTATACCTGATTTTGCAAATTTACGACATCTGGCAAGTGTCCTCCTTCCAAATGCCAATGCAACTTGCTTTGGGACTTTGGGAATCCCAGCTCTCGAAGCTCCTCTAGTAGCCTGTTATTATATATGCAACAAAACTTGGTTGAATATTATAAAAAGTGGGATTAAGAAATTATTTATAAAAAAAAAAACAGTAAGAAGTTACCAGAAGTTTCCTGTGAGCAAGCTCCACCAATCTATCAATTGCAACCTGCTCAAGATCTCTGCATAACAATTAACAACAAGATGATGTTTTAAACTTTTAAAATTCTGGCCTAATTTGACTTTTAAGATATTAAAATATATAAACTTCTTACCTCCCTACAAAGCTGCCTCCAACGCCTTTACATACTTTCTCCAAACATGCCTTCTTTTTACCATTCTATATAATAAATAAATAAATAAAACCACATCAAACACTTGAAATCATATTAGGTCAAATGAAATGCAAAATTAACCTGTTGTCTAAGTCTCATCTTCAGCTGGTCAATTTCATGTTTGATTGCTTCATCTTCTTTGTCATCCAAGTTAGGCTGTCATTCGCAGAAAAAAGATTAAAAAAAAAAAAAAAAAAAGGTGACATTTTTTTTACATATTGTGAGTCAAGGGATAGTGAGCCTACCACTAACTCAGGGTATAGACCAATGCTCTGAAGCTCTAAAAGAAGTCTGTCATCTACACGCATTTGTTCATACTTATTATCAAATGAAGAAATGTTAAAACTTTCCATCTGTAAGTCCTTTGAAATCCCAGCTAAAAGCTCAACTTCTGAATGCACATCTTCACATGGAGAATCATTGATGCTAGGGCTTCTAAAGGAGTTGGAGCAACCACTTATAGAAAAAGACACCTTCACAGAATGAGGACTTTGAGCATGGACACCAAACACTGTGTCACATTCAAATTCCCTTCTTGCCCTCTTTCTAGGCTCATAATCATCCATTTCATATGCTGAATCACAAAAACCATCTTCAACTGTTGTTATATTTTCTTCTTCTTCTTCTTCAAGTTCATCCATGTTCTCTTCTATAATGAGTGCTGATAATACTCTTTGAAACAATGGAATGAATTCTTTAGATGTTTTTTCTGAATCTAGTCTCCCAGAAAAAGACTCGCTTCCTTGGTGTTTCACATGCCCGTTTCTTTCCTCATTTGGAAAGTTCACCTAGGACACCAAAAAACAATATGTTGCATTTATTTATTAACATATTTATTTTGAAAAAAAGGAAGTGAATGAATCAAGATTCCAGGATTAAAAACTTACCACAATATTATTTTCACGACCATGAAACTGAGGAAAGTTTCCCTGAACATCCTGCTCAGATTTTAGCTGATTCAAAAGCATCACAACAAGTGATTTAAAAGTTAAAAATCCATAAATTATTTCGACAAATTGTTAAAAAAAAACAGTTCTCACCTGCATGGATAAGTAGAATCTGTCTTTTGAGCTAACAGGAGCAAATATTGGTTCCATTTTTTTCCAGAAAGGGTTTGAACACGCTAAATCTACACAATCAATGATAAAAATATATATATATATATATATATATATATATATATATATAAATATTTCTAAATTTAACAAAAACTAGGATTTTGACCGTCCGCGCAATGCTGCGGAAGCCCCTGTATGTTCAAAAACGCAGATTGACACCATACATACCATGGAGACGATTAAACCATATAAACTGGAGCATAAAAATATCAAAATAAAATTTGGATACAAATAATTATGTACGGAGGAGACGGACGAAAATAAGACTTGAAATTGTATCCTAAAGAAATTGATAAAAAAAAAATTATTAAAAAAATATGTAAGGGGTCGAAGTGTAACTTTAAAATATAATAGGGGATCAAATCGTAATGTATAAAATACCAATAATTTAACTTTAAAATTATCAGGGGTAAAAACTGTTAAATAAAAATTAAATGAGGGGAAAAGATTATAAATATGAAAATCTTCTATGACCAGAACCTAAATGACTATTTCCAAAAACTATTGTTTTACATTTAATAATGCATGCTTGACAATATATAACATGATTTGGGTTTAGTAAACCTGGATTTGGAAATAGAAAAAAAAAATATAAATCGTGGGAACATCATAGAAAAAGAAAAGGAGATGACAGCACAATCGACGGATAGGAATAGAAGTTGAGATGAATAGTGATTTGCCTCACAAACGGATTTTGGTAATTAATATATATATAATAGATGACAAATATAACATCTTACAGCTAGCATTGCGAGCATGATTTGCAGCTGCTAACAGTTCTTCACGATCATCATCAGATTTTCCTGAAACTTTATATAAAAAATTTAATATTTTTTTTTTTTAAAAAAAAAACACAAAAGATAGCAATTAGCAGTATCTATACCTGTGAAATCTTTACCACTGTTTTGCAAATGGCCAAGACGTGAAAATCCCTTACGATCTGAGAGCTTTTTCAAAGGGCGTCCTTTATTACTGGCAAAAAATGCATCATTGCATGAGTAAACCAAAAATTAAAAACTATAAATAAAATTAAAATCTGAATACCTTCCATTCTTCTCATAACCAGGCCTGTTTCTTTGAATTGGCTTAATCATGGGTGAATTATCCATTTTCTCCCCATTCACTGAAGAGCTAGCCCTAGCAATCAAAGGACCTCTTCCACTTCGCCCTTGTCTCCTCACACCCCCCTCACTACTTTCTTCATTAATTACAGATTTGACCTTCACTCCAACTGGTAATGAAGGCACAACATTCTGACCTTCATTCACATTTACATTTACAATTGGATTTGCATTTGCATTTGCATCTGTATCACCGTTTCCCTTTTCTTTCTCCTTCAATCTGCTTTCACCACCAACAGATTCTTCACTTTCAGACATACGTTGTGGAGATTGAACAATCTCTGGTTTAGGTTTAAACTGTTTTGAAACAAGAGTACCATTTGTCCCATCAGATGCCAATCTAACACTAATATCAGAATGCGAACAGCTGTCAGATGATAACTGTTGTTTTTCTTCTTGATTTGAAACAGGAGACACCAGATTCGCTCTCCTTGTTCTTGACATTTTCTGTGGCCTCTGACTACCCCACTGAGTCATTGAGGGAGATGATCCAGCTGGCATAGCACGTTTCCTGGTGGGCCCGGGTCCACCAGTTGAAGGGATTTTGTTTCCACCTGTCGCATTATCCCAGGTTTCTGATGTTCCGGATACACGTGGAGTACTTGGTGATGAGCTGGCACCATTACGTGGAGTCCTTGAAGCTTTCCCTTTTGTCACTGGACTAGCACACGGAGTATAACTGTCATCACGTGTATTTAACCTGCAAACACAATACATTAGTTAAAAACAAATAAAATGCATGATTATTTCATTAAGTTATACAAGTGGACACATACTTATTGTTTCCTTTTGTGATAATTCTTTCCTTATTTGGCCCTACAGTAAGATCTCTGGGAACAGCGGGCCCCTCCTGTTCATTTCTAGGGGACAGGCGAGCACGAGAGCTGTTAGATGATCCTTCTAACTTGTTATCCACCTTGTGGGTGTTTCCACTACCATTAGAAGCTCCTAATCTGCTTTAACAAGTATTAATTATGCAAAGTGAAACCCAATTTATTGTTTTTTGATGAACCCGCTGTAGTACCTGTAAGGGTGCACATCACTTGATTGCAACCCAGGGTCACTGGCAACCTTGTTTTGAAGAGTTCTTTTAGGCTCTCCATTGCTATCCATAGGTCTTGTAAAAGCTGCCCCAACTGAACGTTTTCTTTTCATCTTTTTATCCCACCCTTCACCTCCTGCAGGCAACCTCTGAATCTTCTCTTCTAAAATATCAGATTCTCCATTGTTGTCCTTGAGTAAATCTCTTTCTTTAGCCATTGCTACAGGCTGTCTTCTAAGACCATTACTTCGGAATTCCTGGAATTCATTTGAAAATTAGCTTTTGGGTCTACGTATAACAACAAATAAAGAAATGAACAAGTTGAAAATAAATAAATCATATTAAAAGCAAACCCTTGTTTCTGCAACTGAAGTGCGGACACGCTTGTTCAAAAGAACATTCTTGGGGCGATCTTGATTTACAAGTTCTGTTGGGTTTCTGTAAATTTGAGTTCCAATCTTTGTGTTTAAACCACCTGTTTGATCATTATTCACTAACTCATTCCTTTGTGGTTTCTTAGAGATTACAACATCACAATATTTATCCAACTTATGCAAGTGTTCATCTAATTTGCTTGCCCTTCCCCTGTTAAAAAGTGTTGCATCATACAATATTATTAACCAACAATATACTTGCTGAAAAATGAAAATCCATACTAATGTCATGAAAATAACAAAAAAGTACCTAGCTGTGATACACGTATCTGCAACACTCGATCTGAAACGCTTCAGATCATCTGCAACAGCCACTGGAGGTGAAGGCTTTAAGTTAGAAGGACCAGAAGTTCCAGAAGAACTATTATCTTCATTTGTGCTTCCAATGAAAAGTCCCATGACTCTTCTTAATTCAACTGACCTATCAATCTTCCTATCACCCATTGGGATTGGGTCAAGAGACAAACACTGAGACAAAGGGGGGAAATGTCCTGATGCTATCATTGCATTATTTCCACCTCGTGAGACAGAAATCCCTGAATTAAACAGCCGACTTTCAGCACCCTCTCTGAAGCTTCCGGACCTATCCAAATTGGGCCCACCTGACACCGAATGAGTAGTCCTCTTACCATTTGAATAAGTTCCAGAAAACCCTGGCTCGGAAGAACTAGCTGAGGGCGATTCAAATCTTGCGTTTCCAGCCATGACTCAAAACACTCTAGGTACCCCACTCATATGTAGGATACCTTGAAATTTTTTATTCTGAATGAATTACCAATGACATTCGAATGAGAATCTTGATTAAGTGCAAGGCGAGCTAAATTAACAAGCATAAGGTAATCATCACGAATTCTAACCAAAAAAGTCAGCGCTCTACTCGGAGCACCTTGATAAAAAGTTCAAATTCTCCGTACATAATCCAAGAATATACTACCTACAGCTACAGGTGTAAAACCCCACAAAAATGAGCTACATTTGGTAATTCAAGAAATTGGGTGATTCTGTACCCTAGTTCTTACTCGGAAAAGTTTGAGCCAAATTGAGAGAATAAATGAATAATTGGATAGGGGAAATGATACCTTTGATTAGTAAAATTCCATTGAAGGAGAATTTGTGAAAATCCGGTGGCTGCTGGTGGTCGTGGTCGTTGTCGTCGTCGTCGTCGTCTCCGTATGTCTCGCAGTGTCGCTTTTCCCAGTGTTGGTTTCTCTCCGCGTTCTTTTTGCGTTCAGAAGTCGGCTGATCGTAGAGGATTGGGCTTCTGTTTTTCTGGTTTTACATTGCGGCGGAACGGGCTTCGGACACGATTAAATTGGGCTCAAATTTCACGATTTTACGGGCACGCCAAGTCGCCAATACGTCATACTACATGAAAAACAGTTTTATTTGGATATTTTCTTAATGAAAACGACTTTTAAGGGTAAAACATTCCTAATAAATTTAACTTTAAGGAAAGAAGAAAGGAAAATTACTAATCTAGTCATTGTTAATGACTTATCAAAAATAGCCAAAAAATGAGTCTTAGCCAAAAATAGCCCACCAAATAGTAGTCAACAGTTGACTGCGGTCAACGTGTGTTGACTACTCTTTTTCTTGAAATCTACTATTTCGTGGTAATGGACTACTGTTTTCACGGCTCGTTTACTTTTTCGTGGCCCATTAGCTCAAAGTATATAATGGTTAATTTTTCAGATTATGTCATTTTTCACTATTTTTTTTTTTTGTTTGCCTACTGTTTTCTCTCAATGGAGCACCCGAAGAACAACCAGGTTTGTCTACTTTTCATCAAAATTTTACCGTGTTCGTGATTATGAGTAGGTTTTGTATATGGGTTTAAGTTTTTATTTGAAAAAAATCAAAAAAATAAAAAAAAATAAAACTGTAGGTTTCATACGAAACCTACGGTGTACAAGTGCCCAATGCACAGTTTGTGCAGTGTCGACTTGTACACCTACGGTTTCGTCGAACCGGAAGTATTTTTTTTTACGTTTTTTTTTTAAATTTGATCCAACATGATCGGAATTTGATATATATACTATAATTTCATGATTTTTTTTTAAACTCAAAAAAAAATAGCGAAACTGTAGGTTTTTTTGAAACCTACGGTGTACAATGATTTAATGCATAGTTTGTGCAGTAAAGGGTTCTACACCGTAGGTTTTTTTTTTTACCAAATTTAATGCATAGTTTATTTTTTTCCGTTTTTTTTTTAATTTATAACCAATAAATAAACATTTGTATATTTTGTTGATGCTGTGATTTTTTTTTTTTGAAAAAAAAAAAAAGAAACCGTAGGTATGTATATAAAACCAAAAAAAAGTAGTCAAATTTACCAAAAAAAATTGTCAAATTTACCAAAAAAATCAGTCAACAAATTCAAAAAAATAATCTACAATTTAGCAAAAAATTATTGTATTAATTCTTAAAAAACTAGTTTATATTTTACAAAAAATATTTTTTAACAAAATAATTGTCAAAAAACAGCTCTACATTTTATAAACAATATAATTGTTAAAATAATTCAACATCTTATAAACACTCTTTTTAATACTCTATATCACAAAAAGAATACGGTTTTTTTTTTAAGTCTAATGTTTTGAATTCTCAAAAAATTTTAACAAAATAATTGTTAAAATAATTCTACATCTTATAAACACTATTTTTAATACTCTATATCACAAAAAAAAATTAAAACCGTAGCTTTTTTTACAAAACAGTAAATTAAACCCCAAAATAGTAGACTTAAAAAAAAAAAAAAAAAAAAAAAAAAAAAAAAACGTATTTTTTTCCCAAAACCGTAGGCTACGGTTTGGGAAACCGTAGCTAAACCGAGAGGAAACCGTAGGTTTTAAAAACCTACGGTTTTGTATCTTAGAAATGAAAAAAAAAATTATACAAAACACGAAACAGTAGACGAATTGACGAAACGATAGACGAATATAGAAACATACGGTTTCGTGGGCTATATTTGAATATTTACTAGTTTTTGGCTAAAAATTGCTAATCACTTCCTTAATTTTGCTAGATTAGTAATTAGCCCAAAAAAGAAAAAGATAAATACATCCAAAATTATTAATCTTTTTTCAAAAATTGACCAATAAACTTATTAATTTTGAAATGATAATACTTATTTGTACTATAGTTTGCTCAAAGTTATGGATTTCTAAATGATTTTAATAAAAAAATTAATTTTAAGTTGATGTTTTTTAAATTTTTCAGTAATGTAGTTTGTTTTAATCCGTTGATGTCTAAATAATATATGTGAAATTTTTTGTTAATTTTAAGACAATGTTGATTATCTTGTATATTTTATATAATGAACAATTTGATAAATCTAATGAATTTTTGGATGATGTATCATATGTGTCTCACAAAACATTCAACTATAGCTTTAGATTTGAAGATTACATTATTACATGTCCTTATCAGATTATTTACTAACACGCCAAGGTATTGGTTACGCATGAAAAAAAAATCTTAACTGTAAAGTGGAATGTATAATATAATAGATGAACAAAGTTTGTTTACTGCCATCTTTTGTATTCACACATTCAATTTCATTGTTTTTTGTTTTTGTTTTTTAGGATATTAATGTTAACTTTATGTACAATTCACACATTCAATTCCATTGTTTTTTTGTTTTTGTTTTTTAGGATATTAATGTTAACTTTATGTACATACGTGGCTAGAGGTGTCGATGTTACTCAAAAAAATGGTGCTTGCTTCCAATTCATTTGTAAAACCTTACCTTTGCAGGGTAAGATATCCATTATTGGCAACTACAACTAATGAACCACACAAACTTTACTACTTCTCTACCTATGCTCTTTCTAAAATCAAATGTTGTTTCATTGTCATCACTCGGGATGTATAGAAATCGAAACCGACGTTGTGTTCAGCACCATTTACAACCTCGAGCACATATCTCGTACCACTTTTTATTAGGGTTTGCATGCAAATAAGATAGCAACATAATTTCCATATTTCCAATATAACACTCCAAAAATCAAAGAAATTTAAAATTTTCAAAATTAACCATTAACCAACATTTTTTACAAAAGGAGTCATTGTTTCAAAAACATGATTTAAAAATCAGAGTTTTCCCAAGACCCGGTGACATAAAACAGGAAGATGTGCACGATCATGCCTTTGCTTCCCATGATCCTCAAAAGTACCTGAAACAATAAACTAAAACTGCAAGCCAAAGCTTTGTGAGCTCCCCCGAAGTACCACCACAAAAAACATAACAAACAACAGCATGCATAAATGAGCCTTCAGCATTAATGGACTGCCTCGCAGGGCCTGCAACCTATCCGGACCGCTCCCGAGCCTTCGGCATGACTGGACTGCCTCAGAGGGCCTTCAGCCAATCCAGAGCGCTCGTCGGGTCTTCGGCTTAACTGGACCGCCCCGGGTATCTTGGCCTTCAGCACAAAGCAGGACCGCCTCAACCCAACCAACCATAACATGCCGACATATACATAACAGATAAACATATAATCAGTCAACAGACAAACAGGCAGATATACCGATCACTACCGCATGCTAACATTGAAACATCCCAAAAATACGGTCCAAAAATTTCGTTTTTAAATCATTATTAAAACCATAAATATCATCATCATAGTATAAAATCATAAAGCATGTATCTCAAAGTATCATAATATCTATCAACATATCAAAATTTCATATCAAATATCAGAGTAAATCTCCCAGGCTAGAAAATTGTGGTATGTATCATACGATCATCCCGAGCCCTTCTCTTTGCTAGCTGAAGTACCTGAAACCAAACTGAAAACTGTAAGCACGAAGCTTAGTGAGCTCCCCCAAACTACCACATACCATACACATATATCATATAACAGATAACACAACTATTGGACACAGCCCAGCTGCATCGGGACGAAGCTGGCATCGGCTTACCCGGCATCGGACTCCAGCCCGGCATCGGGCTCACCCCGGCATCAGACCGCGTCTGGCATCGGGCTCACCCCGGCAACGGGCTTACCCCGACACATACACAGCATATCATATATCATAAACACATAACATATCATATAACAATAACATACATCGGGCTTACCCCAGCATCAGACCGAAGCCCGGATGACATAACAGATAACATATAAACTAACATGCATCGGGCTTGCCCTGGCATCGGGCTTACCCCAGAACACGTCACACATAACAAATACACTAACATACATCAGGCTTGCCCCAGCATCGGGCTTACCCCGAAACACATAACACATAACATGCATGAATCACAAAGACATCAAGCATACATATACTCTTCTCGGGACCGCCCCGGCATCGGACGGAAGTCCGGAACTACTAACAACTAAATGGGCCGACATTGTGGCCTTAGACCCGTTCCTACTGGAGGAAAACTCACCTCGCAAGACTGACTACTGAAAACTCGAGTGAGGAATCCCTGTCTACTGCTCTGGCGACTCTCCGGCTATCAATACCATAATAACACTTAATCATAATCTGCTAATCCTCTCTTAGGGTAAAATGACCATTTTACCTCTAGTCAAAGTCAAAGTCAAAGTCAAGTTCAACTCTCAGTCAACCCAACTCGTCGAGTTATCTCCCAACTCGGTGAGTCCCTGAATGCTTAAACTCCTGGTCTACTGAGTCAACTTGTCGAGTCCCTGAACAGACTCGTCGAGTTCTTGATGTTGTAATAATCGAGACAACCCACTTCAACTCGTCGAGTCCTTCCCTGGACTCGACGAGTTCCCCTGTCTGATTGAGTCATCTCAATGGATTAAGCTCCTACCATTCATATGTATGTTCCAAACTTCACTTGTCCACTGGGAATGACCTTTCCAAGGATAAAGTTTCCAACTTTACCCGTTGATAACTCTTTTTGAAGGGTTTAGCCAAAACCCTAACTCCTCTAAGACATAGATCTTATCCAAACAGCCTTAGTATACCAAACCAAAGCATGAAAGCCTAGATCTAGGGTCTAGAAACCAGTTAACCACGTAAAGTCTCGAGCTTGCTTCCATGCATGGCCCCTTTTGGGGCTTAAAAAGGCTATAACAATATCCATAAGGTTTTCATGAGACTCAAATGGCATAAAGTTTGCACCTTTATGCCTTTACAACCCTCATTAACTCCAAATCTAAAAGAATAATCAGTTTGGGACATCCATGCCTCATAAATCATGCTACTTGGACAAAAAACCATAAAAGAGACCACAAAGAGATCTAATGAACTATAAGGCAAGTTTAGAGCTTGATTACCAGAAAGTGATGAGAATGGAACGAAATCCCTAGATCTATAACCTTCTCCTTGAACCTTCAAACTCCTTCTTCTTCTTCTAAGCTTCAAGAACGCACAAACCATTCAAAAT